ATGTTTAAAAGAATATTGAGGCAAAACCCACCCAGGAAATCTGGGACACTGTAAAAAAGACCTAATTTATAAATAATAGGAATAGAGGAAGGAGTAAAAAACTAGGTCAAAGGAACAGAATTTTTTTTTTTTTTTAATCATAGAAAATAAAAAGTCACTAGCCTAAAAGAGTAGATGCCTGTAAGGTACAGGAAACATTTGGAACACCAAATCACCTGGCCTAGAAAAGAAATTTCACCACACAATCAAAACATTAAATGTTCAGAACAATGAACAGTATTAAAAGCTACAGCAGAAAAAGGCCAAGGAACATAAAAAAACAGAATCATTAGAATAACACCCAGCTTCTCTGTGGAGACTCTAAAAGCCAGAAGGACCCTGACAGATGTTCTACAAACTCTAAAGGATCACAGATGGCAGCCCAGAATATCATACTCAACAAAACTTTCAGTTACAATTGATGGAGAAAAAAGACATTCCATGACAAAAACCAATTTGAGCAGTATTTATCTGCAAATCCAGCTCTAGAGAAGGTGCCAGAAGGGGACCTTCAGTCAGAAGGTTAACCACACCCAAGAAACCACAAGGAGTAAATCGTCACAGACCAGCAAGTACAAATGGTGTGCTGCCGGTAAAGCCCACACCATAAAAACAAAATAACAGGAGTCAACAGACACTGCTCAATGATACCTCTCACCGTCAGTGGGCTTAACCTCCTATAATAAGATACAGACTAACAGACGAGATTTGAAAACAGGACCAATCCTTCTGCTGCATCCAAGAAACATACCTTAGCATCAGAGATAGACATCACCTCAGGTAAAAAGATGGAAAAAGATATTCCAAGCAAACTGATCTTAAACAGCAAATTTTAAACCAAAACTAATCAAAAGAGAGGGAAGAATACTACCCACTCATCAAAAACAAAAACAGAAAAATCCACCAAAACGATAATGCGGTGCAAACACTTCAGCACCAAGCACAGTCCACCCAACTTCATGAAAGAAATACTACTACAGCTAAAATCACACCCGGACCCTCACACAGTCATAGCGGGTGACTTCAGGAACCTATTCCCACCAATACACAGGCCATCCAGACAGAAGCTAAACAAAGAATGACCTCATATTAAACACACCTGGCAGATATTTGCAGAACATTTCACCCAAACACAAAAGAATATACTTTCTTCTTGGCAGCTCATGGAGCTTTCTCAAAACTGACCACATTCTTGGACACAAAGAAAGTCTCAACAGATACATGAAAACTGAAATGACAGCCTGCATCATATCTGATCACCACAGATTGAAACTGGATATAAGCAACAACAGAAAGTTTAGAAAGTCATGGAAACTGCATGACTCACTACAATGGTTCAAGACAGAAATTAATTTTTTTTAGAACTGAATGAAAATGAATACACACAGATAGAAACTTAGGGAAGCAACAAAGGGAGTTCTAAAAGACAAATTCATAGCACTAAGTGCCTATAAAAACATGAAGAGAAAACATATTAGTAGCTTAACAGCACACATGAAAGCTGTATAACAAAAAAATATACAGAGAGAGTAGATAGCAAAAAATAATCAAACTCATGACTGAGATCAATAAAATTGAAATAAAATATGAAGAAACAATGTAAGAGAGTTGATTAAGAAAAGTAAGACTGATGATAAACTCTTAGCCAAATTAACTGAAAGATGGAGTGAGAAGATCCAAGATGGTAAAATTAGAGATGAAAAGGAGATATAACAATAGACACAAAAGAAATGCAATCAGAAAAGCATACTAAAAATCTGCACTTCACCAAATTGGAAAACCTAAAAGAAGTGGATAACTTTCTTTATATATACCACCCAGCAAAGTTAAGTATAGATAAGCTAAGCAATCTAAACAGACCCTTAACCCATAGTGAAATAGAAACAGTCATTAAAACTCAATCAAAAACAGTTTAGGGCCAAATGGATTCAATGCAGAATCTACCAGACTTTCAAGGAAGAATTAACACCAGTACCCCTCAAACTATTCCAAAAAATTGAAACAGAAGGAGCATTTCCTAATTATTTCCTTATAAAAAGAAGGCCACAATTACCCTATACTAAAACAACATACAAAAAGGTCCCACGAAGAAAGAGGCTTACAGCCCAATCTCCTTATGAGTATAGATGCAAAAATGCTCAATAAAATACCTGCAAACAAAATTCAGGAATATATAAAAAAGATTAAAAGCACTAAGGAGTGCCTTTTCCTACCCCTGAGTAGAGTCTTTAATGCTCTTTTAACAGCTCTTCTCTATGCTTTTCTAAATCTTTAAGATATTTAGCAGTTAGTCTTTCAATCTGCAGTGAAACTTTTGAATGGGGACAGAAGATTCTCTCAAGGCCCTCCGTCATCCATTCCAGCTAAGCGCTCTGGGTGCCTGTGAGCCAGCAGCATGGGAGATAATGTTTTTAAAAGTTAGTAAGATGCAATAAAGCATAAAGACACACCCTAAGTTCTATCAGGTGTGTCCTCAAAAGAGCAACCTTGAGCACAGTTTCATCTAAGAAAGGCGCTAGTATATCCAGCTTCTTGTGGTTCACGGTCATTCTGTGAGCTCTTCTAGGGCTTCATTCTGGGTTCCTCTGCCAACCTGCTGTGCATCTCTCTACTGACGGGTGCAGCAGGATCAGCCTCTACTGTTTGCCCAGCTGAAAGTCAAGGGTGGGTAGAGGGCAGCGATATGTTCTTGGGTGGTACGACTACTGCTGGAATGACTCCTTGACTGTGACAGGCTCCTAACACACCCACGGGTGTTGGCTCTCCATTGGCCATATCTGGCTACCGATATGATCCTGGTTAAAAAGGACAATCCACACGTCCTGCTTCTTTCTTGAAGGAAGAGAGTACATCAGTCCTCCAAGGGAATTATTTCCCCACTTGAAGACAAGTACAAGCCTTTTCACCTGTACTGCCCTAATCACTTGTCCTCCAGCCCTTCTTGCCCAAATTTCTGGAAGCTTCCTAGGACAGAGTTTGGTTTCCTGTCAGGTTTTCTTCCTAAGCACTCTGCTTGACATAAGTGGTGTCTCATCTTCCTTGAGTAGCCAGGACAGTGCTTTAGCACCATGATTTATTTACACGCTTGCCTACACTGTGCTGTGCAGAGACTTCTGATTTCCTTAGGATCACTTCTTACCACAAGGTTCAGCAAAGCCCATACAACCCTATACCAGTCCCCAGGTCCCCATTGGATCGGCGTCTTCCCTAACTCTCCTGTTAACATTGTTCCATGAACTCAGTGACTGAGGCAGCAAGCATCACCTCTCACATGCCCAATTCCCCAAGGACCATTTGTCATTATCTGTGATTTCAGTTAGTGATGCTCATGGGAACTTCAGCCAGTGATAAACAGATAGCTAATGGCTGCCTCATATAAACTGGTCCACCGGGGACTGATTTTGAACGTATTACCTCAGGTTATACGAGAAGGGATGAGTAATTTCATGTTTCTTTTCTTTTCCCATATTACTCAGACTGACCTCATCCACCCTCTATTCCGTCTCACAAGCCAGGCGTGGGGAGAGGTGCCTCATTCCCTACTTTAATGTCTGCCCTGTCACATAGTTCAGGTGAAGCATATCTGTGAAGACTAGTGCTTCTTCTACTTGGCCATGGTTAAGACCCCCATCTGGATGCAGAATCATGGATTTTCCTTTTCTCTGTATAGATGACGGACCTGAAGAATGTTTTCTCTCACTTGTTTTCTATCTCCCTCTTCCTTCTCACTGACTATCCCCAGGAGTTCAAGTTCTTGAAATCCCAAGAAGGACTATATAGTGTTGTACTCTCAACACTTACACTTAATACCTCAATCTCATCCTTATCACTGCCCGTTTCCTGTCACATTAAAGGTTAATGTAGAGGGTAACACCCAAATGGTTGTTTTGTTTGTTTGTTTATATTTTGTCATTTAGACCAGTTCTTTCTGGGCAGACAGGTCAGCCTCAGTTATCTTAATGCTCACCACAGAGTCAATACAACTGACAGTATTATTTGGCTGAGAACCCCTCCCATACACTCTGCTTTCAAAGGATTAAGCTATATTCTTAGGCCAGTTGGTAGTTGGGGCATGGGACAACCCCATTCATCAAGTAGGCATGGGATAGCCTATTAAGAAAGACAACAACCCTGGGGTTCCTTCTGGGGACTCAGATCTTAGATTGTTCAGGCTCACATGCATGTCTTACCAAACAGAGCAGGAACATGTAACTGTTATTACAGGGAGGATTCACACATCCCATACTACATGGGAGAGGCAGCCATATCGGGATCCCTCTTCTGGCATCCCACCCACAGGCAGCTCAGTATTAGTTGCATATATTATCTGCTATTGCAATTTCTCTGCTCTAGCTTATCTTTGGTTTTGTTGCGTAGTGTTTATACATCACATATTCTGTGTCGCTTCCTGGGCTTATGATGTTAGGGACAGACAGAAGGAACGATCCCACTTAAAACTAGTTCAACAGACAATGATTTTTTTTTATTGGAGTTACTTAATAGGAGCATGGTTGATGGATTCCTTACAGGAGAGTGGGTAAGGGGTCTTTAAAAGAGCATGAGCAATTTGAGCAGCTGGATTAAGGAGAAGCCCAC